TGGGCCCAGTGGCCGGGAGTCTCAAGGAGGACGCTGAGGCTGGGTGGGGCGGGAGAGTGGCCCAGACCCGACCTGCACAGCTTCAGAGAGCCAGGGCCAAGGATGGAGCCACCTGAACGTGCCCGACCACAGGCCCAAGGCCCACAGCCGAGCACAGGGGGAACCCCAACCCTGGGGACAATCTTACCAGGCCCAGAGGGCGTCCTGAGTTAGGGGAGTCAATTGAGAGCAGGCTCCAGGACACTGCTCTATGCCCAGGCAGAGATGCCAAAGCCGCAGTTTAGGAGGACGGAAGGGCGGAACCTCAACCCAGAGCTTAAAAGGAAGGAAAACTCCTCCAGTGGCACAGAGGCACAGGGGGGTGGACAGGGGAGGGGAGGGCTTTGACTGGCTCCAGGTGGAGGTGGGTGCTGGTGGTGATGTAACCCCGGGCCCTTTTTCTGAGGCTCATGGTCCAAACCTCTTTTAGGGCCCTTCCTCCAGCACAGTCTGGGGGGCAGGACCACCCAGGCTAGACACGGGACATGACAATATCATAAATTGTATGCTGTATATTGTCTTCTATAAAACATTTTATACTAGGACTTCCAGTTGATGGCGGCATGCTTGCGGACTCACCTCCCGGGGGTGTCTCCGTGCTCCGGCGGAAGGAGGGGGTGAGCAGGCTCATAAGCCCCCCCAGGGGCCCGGTGAAGGGACCCTGGCCAATGAGCTTTGAGGGGTAGCCTCTTCGATGGCGGAATGCCAAAGGCGCCCCTTCGCTCCAGTGGTTCTTCCAGCCGAGAGACCGAATGGTACAAGTGAAGCTAACCAAGTCAAGCGCAGGAGATCGGGCATGAAAAATGATGAAAGAGAAAAGATGAAAGAAGCGTGGTCGAAAGGCCAACTATGAACGTGAGTCAACTGGGAAACGATTTTTGAAAGAAAAGACGCTCCCTACCCTACTCCGCGGAACGGGAAAAGCGAGCGGGGGGGCGCCTCCCATGCGCATAAATTGTTGAGCGAAAGGGGGGGAGCAGAAGAGAAACGCGAGCTAAGCAGTCAAGCGCATATTCAGAGACTTTTAAAAACTTTCCGAAAGTAAACAAACGGGGAAAAGATGGCGGGGAAGAGGGACAAAGACAGACTTTTGAAAACGAAACCAGAGTCCCCTAAGCCGGAAACGACCAGTGAAATGGCAAAGGCTATAGCTGAGTTCATGCGCCCTCTACTGGAACAGCTGAATAACTTCAAAGAGCAGATGTCCGTGGTAACACAGAGCATTTCTGCGCAACAAACGCAGATAACTGATCTGATCCAAGTAATGAAGTAGGATGCTGAGAAAGTAAAGGAAGTAGCTGAATCAACGCAGAAAGTGAAGAAGAAAGTGCAAAAATTGGAAATGCTTCAAGTACAAATGGATAAGGCCAATATGGTCCTGCGCTCCCAGGGGGTGCCAGAGAACAAAGGAGAGAATCTTAAAGAACTTATGAGCGAACTACTTGCCCCAGCAACAGAAATAAAGGCGGACTTGTTACTCAACGATATGGATGTGGCCTACAGGATACATAAAGAAAATCTGCCTGGGGAAATTGTAGTAAGATTCTCGAAGAGACACATCAGGGATGCTATCCTGAAAGCAGTAGCGGCAACGCTTCTGAAGGCAGGGGAGAATGCTGTGAGAATGCTAAAGGATATTCCATTTGAAGTAAGACAATGCAGAAAGAAATATAAAGAACTTGTACTCTTTCTCCAAACAAATTCAATTGGATACAAATGGCTATTTCCAGAAGGCGTAACATTTAAGATCAAAAAGAAGAAGGAAAAGATTGACTCTGTTCTGAAAGCTCAAGAATTTCTAAAGGAACAGCTGGGAAGGCCAGAGGACGAGAAAAAAGAAGAGGACAGCAGGTCCAGTGGCAAGCTGGAAACTGGTTCGTCTGGTGAGGACTCTTTGTCTGAGCAGGGGGCAGCAGCCCCGAAAAGTCCCTACAAGTTGCGGAAGAGGAGAGAAGAAGAAGTAAAGGCTGAAGGACTCTGAATTGTGCCTTTGAGAACTTTGGTTCCTGGGAATGATTGGGGGCACTGTTATTGGGCAGTTAAATGTAAACTGGGAGGGTAAAAAGTTTTTAAAAGTTTGACACAGTTCATAAAAAGAAAAAAGATGAAAAGACTGGGTGTATAAAAGCTAGTTGGAGGATCTCCTCTCTTGGGTTTTTAGATAGTAGTGGGTACTTTACTTTCTCCCGTATGTGTAGTTTCCCCCTCCCTTTTTTCTGGTGTAGTTTTTTGTAGTGATAAAAAATCAATAAAAAATCCCCTCCGGGGGCTCAATAAAAAAAACATTTTATACTACATAGCTTGCATGAGAAAAACCTTGACTTAAAAATTGTTTCTTTCAAAAAAAATTTCATAGTTTTCCCAGTGATCCTCAAAATTTTCATATTTTCAAATTAGAAAAAACCCGAAATTTTCCTTGGGAGGAGAAGGAGACCCATTACCACTACATTTTCCCTGTAACTTTCCCCTATTGGGGGGGGGGCTTACCCATCTGTTGTAGAGATGCGACCAAGTGCTCTATTCCTGTGTGCATTTTGTTGGAATTATGTGTGTTGCAAGGTCTAAATTCAGTCATTATAGGTGTAATGTGTTTACCTTGTGTGCTATTGTTTAGACTGACGTGGAAGGTAACCTGGCACAAAGCCAATGGGGAGAAAGCCTGGGAAACTGGAGCCTATTTACTAACAATCATTGGTTGATATATTCAGGTGATTTCCTTCTAGGGTCAAAAAGAAAGAAGAATCTCCATTACCAGCCGTGTGGTCAGTCGGTCTGTTGTTGTACTTGTTATAGTACGGATGTAGTCTTAAGTGTTTGTTGTTTTGTAGATTTCCCGTGTACGTTTCCCTTTAGAAATAAAGATTTTTACATAGAAAGAATGTGCCTCCTCTCCAGTGAACAAAGATCCATTGCAAGCTCTGAATATCTAACTACTTTTACCAAATTTTCCAACACATTGTGCCCTTGCACTTAGGTGCATCCTTAACAGTGACTTGGATAATTTTGTTGGAATTGACTGCGGGGGTTATTTTTGTTTTGTTTTGTTTTGCAGTAGCAAGTGTTAAAAAACATGGGTGTGAACCTGTAGTGTATTCCTGTCACCGGCTCTTCTTTAACATTCTCCATCTAAAAAATTTTGTTCAGAATATGTTTGCTATGTCTGCCTTATGTTTTCTAATGTGGCCCTCTGGTGACTACTTCATGTTCTGTCTATTTCCAGTACAAAGAGGATGCATTCTCATGTCACTGTTTTAGCAGGTTCCTATCAAATGCAGTTTGGACACATTCGGTGTGATTGATACCACCTGTTATTTCTAACATCTGATGTACAAAACAGAGTAGAATATTCTACCACTACTACAGATACTACGGAACAGCTTAATATAGAATGGAAAACTGTCATTTTATTTTTAGCATCCATCCAAAGCATTCCTTGTTCAAGCACCATTGAGGTCAACTGAATTCTTGAAAGCTTACTACGAAAACATTAAGAACAAGCTGTTCCTTGGAGGATTAGGTGTACTTTTCCTCTCAGTGCTAGTTAGGGAAGTCTGTTTGCTGATATGAAGGCTTGATTTTCTGATCACATTTAGAATGGTGGTACTTTTGAGCTGCTATTTCATGTGTAGCATTATTCACTGGCATTATTCTTTAGTGGTGAGGAGTACACATGAAGCTGCCCTATACTGAATCATACCATAACTCCATCAGCGTTCAGTATTGTCTACTCAGTCTGGCAGCAGCTCTCCAGGGTCTCAGGCAACGGTCTTTCACAGTACATACTACCTGATCCTTTTAACAGGAGATGCTACCTGCTGTGTTCTGGGAAGACTCTGATACAAAGCTCAACTACGAGCTTCCCGAATAGCCTTAGACAAGATGCTGTTTCTACAGGCTCCCATAGAGTGGAGGTGATGCAGGTTCACTTTTGAGTCCAGTGGCACCTTTAAGACCAACAAGTTTTATTCAAAGTGTAAGCTTTTGTGTACATGCGCACTTCTTCAGTGGCACAATGCACTTCTTCTGAGGAAGTGTGCATGCACACGAAAGCTTATACCTTGAATAAAACATGGTTGGTCTTAAAAGTGCCACTGGACTCAGACTTTATTCTGCTGCTTCAGACCAACATGGCTACCCACCAGAATCTATTTTCCTGGCTGTTGTGTGGTTTACTGAGAGGATGTGCTCCATAAACAACATTGTGCTCCTTCGTTAGTAAAGGTAAAGGTTTCCCTTGCTTGAAAGCTAGTCAAATCCGACTCTAGGGGGTGGTGCTCATCTCCACTCCCAAGCTGAAGAGCCAATGCTGTCTGAAGATTTTTCCATGGTCATGTGGCCGGCATGACTAAACACTGAGGCGCACAGAACGTTGTTACCTTCCCACCAAAGCAGTACCTATTTATCTACTTGCAATGTCTTGCTTTCGAACAATTAGGTTGGTAGGAGCTGGGGCTAGGACTCCGTCATGCAGCACTAGGGTCTCGAACTGCTGAACTACAGACCATTCGGTCTGCAGCTCAGCGTCTTAACCTCTAAGCCACCACAGCCCCGCTCTTTAATTAGGATGAACCAAAATATCCCCAGATGGTGAGCAAGTGCATGAGTTCCCAGAATCATCTCCAGGCTAAATGTTCAGTATGGAACCAAGGTGCGGGGAGGGGGAGGATGAGAAGGTGTTTCAATGCATGCTGTAGAAGCCTTTCAGCTGCAATTTGCAAAACCTTAAAATGGAATACAGAATGCATTGCAGGCTTAACTGGATTTATATGGTTTCTCAGTGCACTGCGGATTTTAGAACACACCAATGACTACTGGGAGAGAGTAATCCACACCTCCCCCCAAGTGCTTTCCTATATAAAATCTGTCAGTTACTAAATTAATTGCATTTTATTAATAATACGTTTTTATTTTCAATTGGAAACCTTTTGGCACTAAATATTGTCAAATTTTCCTTTCTTCAGGTACGATTTGTGAAGAATGTAACTTCTTGGAAAGAGATGAAACCAGGGTTTTATCATGGACATATATCCTTTTTGGATTTTGCAAAGTAAGTTAATACTATGTTTGATTTTAACACTGTTTTTATATTACTATATTATTATTTATCAGGAATTGTATTAATGTAATGAATCGTGTTTTATGTATTATGAGAACGTTTATTCTGTTGTAAGCCGCCCTGAGCCAGCCTAGGCCGGAAGGACAGGATAAAAATCAATAAAATTAAATAAATAAATAAATTCTCTTTGCAGCAATTTGATTTTAAAATGTTCCCTGTCAGCTTAGTTCTTATAGTTCCTAGTTTCACTTTATATTGGACTGCCCCCTTATGGTCATTAATAGAAATTGCACTGCATTGAATTCTGAACATCCAGTTTCTTTCACATAAGCAGTACTGTCCTTTCCTACTTGATTTAGTGCAGCTTTATACTGTCTCCACCATGATACTGACTTTTTTCACTCCAACAGCTTCAGAGCAACATTGTTCTCCTGAACAATGGTAGATAACTCACTGAAGATGTCAGCTCAGTGTGCGACTGCAATTTAAAAAGGCAAATGCTCTGCTGTGGATTATTAGGAAGGGGATTGAAAACAAATCAACCAGTATCATAATGCTTCTATATAAATCTGTGGTGCAGCCTCATTTGGAATACTGTGTACAGTTCTGGGCACCGTTCCTCAAAAAAGATAGTATAGCATTTAAAAAGGTGCAGAAAAGGATAACTAACATAATTAAAGGGCTGGAACACCTCTGTTAAGAAAGGTTAAAGAGGTTAGGGCTTTTTAGCTTATAGAAACAATAATTGTGGGATGATGTGACAGAGGTTTACAAAATCATGCACGGGATAAGGTAAAGAAAGAAGTACTTTTCTCTCTTTCCCACAATATAAGAGCTCATGGGCACTCAATGAAATTAATGAGCACTAGCCGAAGAATAGATTCTTTTGAACTATGGTGCTGGAGAAGACTCTTGAGAGTCCCTTGGACTGCAAGAAGAACAAATCAGTCAATCCTAAAAGAAATCAACCCTGACTGTTCCCTGGAAGGCCAGATAATGAAACTGAAGCTCAAATACTTTGGCCACCAAATGAGAAGGAAGCACTCACTGGAGAAGACCCTGATGCTGGGAAAGATTGAAGGTCAAAGAAGACGGGGATGGCAAAGGATGAGATGGTTAGACAGTGTCATCGATGCAACGAACATGAAGTTGAGCCAACTTCAGAGGATGGCGGAAGACCGGAAGGCCTGGCGGGAGCTGGTCCATGGGGTCACAAAGAGTCGGACTCGACTGTGCGACTGAACAACAACAACAAGGCGTAGAACAGATAAAAGGAAGTATTTCTTCACCCAAAGAATATTTAACGTGGAATTCACTGCCACAGGAAGTGGTGGTGGCTACAAGCATAGACAGCTTTCAAGAGAGTATTGGATAAACTTATGGAGCAGAGGTATAGATGGAACACTCTGTGTGTATTCTTGGTGCTTGGGGGGCAACAGTGGAAGGGCTTCTGGAGTTCTGGCCCTGCTGGTGGACCTTCTGATGGCATCTGGGTTTTGACCACTGTGTGACTGAGTGTCGGATTGGATGGGCCATTGGGCTGATCCATCATGGCTTTTCTTATGTTCTTATGCACTTTCCTTCCTTGTTTGATATGCTTTGGTGGCTAAGGTCATGGACATCATACTACCTGAATGAACCTCCTCTGTGTTATGACAGTGAGACAATTAAGCTGATATGTGCATACAGACATCTTGCTGACTGGCTTATTCCTTCAAATAGTTTAAAATAGTATCTGACAAGAAGAGGGACCCGCGATACTTGCGGGGGGGTAGTATTCCTCCTGGCCTGCGGAAACAGGAGGATCTCAGGGCTGAGGAGGAAGCAGCCACAGGTAAGCTCCCCCCCCCCCCCGGTCCGGGAGAGGAGCCGCACAGGGCGCCTACACCCCGGGCCCTGCCGATCTCTCCCCCCCCAGCTCCGGTGGCAAGGCCCAAGCAGCTCCCATCCACCAGGCTGGCCAAGTCTTCTCCCGATCCTCCCCCTGCAACAGCCAGAGCATTCTCTGTGCATGCACAGGGAACACTCTTTTACTTTTGGGGGGATTTAAGTATCCCCCTTATAGTTTTTTTTAACTTTTCAGATTTTTCTGCACACCTGGGGACTGCTCCAAGTGTGTAGGAAAATCTCTCTGCCCCCCAAGTTCCCCCGATGTGCGGATTGAGATATTCGCATGAAGGGGGCAACTTGGCTATTAGATATATAGATTGTCAATATACCTTCCCAATGATACTAGTCTTTTGGTGTTAGTTTTCCATTAAGCACTGGTAGTAGCCTCCTGCCTTTCCACAGAGAACATCCAAGGACATTCCTTCTGGAAAGTTCATCTCCACCTGATCTGCTAACTTGTTCCCTTGCTTTGAAACACATGCCAAGAAGGATACATAGATTCGGCTCAACTATTTAGTGGCAGTGTGAGATTCAGTAGGCCATGAAACCAAGAAAGAAAGAATGCCCCATCCCCCCCCCCCATCCAGTTAAACCAGCAATTCTGTCATGGCAAATCAGATGCACTTTCAGCAGATCTTCTGTTACTGAAGTAATGTGCTAGTACTTGAAAGAAGACTACCTTTTGAGGGTACATCTGAAGTATGACCTTGGTTCAAAACTAGTATTCTGATGTTAAATCATTCTGGTAAACTGCTTTCGAAATACTCTTGCCTAGTCCATACATACTGAGGTAATAGGATAGACTTCTAGGTTGCAGGCGGGCAGAGGCATTTTTGAACTGTATAAAAAAAGTCTCCCTGCAAATGGAAACCCAGAGCACACAAAACAGGCTGGACCTTCATCCTGTTGTGGTCTTTTTAATTTACAGGGTTTTTAAAATATGAGAGAGCAGGGAAAAAATGGCATTCCTTCACCTGCAGTCTGAAGTGCTTTGTCCATTCAACTACACTGCCCTGCTTGCATAATTTGGGGTCTATGTGTCCCTTTTTTCCTTAGTTAAGTTTTCTGTTACTTCCAGATTAATCTCATTTAAGTAACAGCACCTTCTAGAGTGATTCTGGAATAGGGTGGTTAGCTATTCAGTTTTCCAGCAATCTACCCGGCTACATTTAGGGCTTCAAGCGTAGAGGGGGAAGAAGGTTCAGCTTGGTTATTTGTCTGGATCTGTATACCTACAACATAATTTTGCGTGAAGATTATTAAAAGCCACAGCAGCTGGTGACATTTTTCCACATAGGAATATAAAAATAGAAATAACTGCCAAATTTGTCTCTGTGTCTTTTTCTCTTTAAAAACAAGAAAAAGGAAGAAAGAAACCTGAGTGTTAAATTGTATCACTTCCTATAAACTCCAGGGTACAAAAAACCTGTATTAGTAAACTTCTTTTGCTGAATCCCTAATGAAATAATAACCTTGTGAACAACTAGGTAAGTGTTACTCTATCCTATGCATTATTCATAGGATGAAGCTGAAAACATTTTGTAGGTACTGTAACTTTTCAGCCTAAAATAATCATTTTACCTCTAGAAAAGCAGCTAAGCAATTTCACAAATTTCATTCATATGTATATGTTCCTCCAGGGCTGCATTATCCTTGTGTTTTCTGTTTGTTACCCTTTCACCTAAATGATTTATTTTCCCGCCGCAGCAGCTTGCTTTCTTATATTTGTGGTTTTCATTATTAAAATAATATATTGAGTGCTGCACTTGCTCTTGGCAAATAGACAAGAGTAACTTGTAGTATTACATTCTTGCAGTTGAGAAGTGTAAAATCTTTCAGCAAAGATTCATCCTCTTTAATAAACTCTAGCATAATGCTTTCGATTCACTCTGCACTCTTATAAAATTACATTGAACTTTGATAGTTTTACAATAGTGGTAGGACTATTCTCGACATTGGACCAAAGGGGATAAAGACCAAAACCCCACATATGCAGTTATAGAAAATAATTTCAGTTTTGTTGGTGTCTCATTCTTGGCTTCTGATTCATTTAAAACTTTACTACTGCACTTTGCTTTGGTGCTGTCATCTGTTATCTGGGGCGGTGTTTTTCTTTGATACAGTTTACAGGACTGTTGTTCACTGTTTATCTTGACAGAGTACTAAGGAGCCCTAACTTGAGTTCAGTATCCCCATTACATTAAGTGCAGAGAATGAATCTGAAGGTAAAGTTTGCTCTGTCGTGTTTATGGGCTTTGAAGGTAACTACTCAGTAATGGCTAGAGAGCTGAAGGATATGTTTGGTGCTAGGCTGTCCCTAGCAGGCTCCCACAGAAGCTCATGAGATCGACATGCTGGCCTATGGAGGCACTGTGGTTCATTCCACCTTATTTCCTTCATGTTAGTAACAGCTCTGCCTTCTGTGTTGCACAGCTGCCCAAGGATACAACATCAGGCAGCTTTCATACAGGATTCAAAAGGTGTTTTGCCAAATTTGAGTAATTAGTATGAGAAAACAACAGTCCATATTTATTTAGCCTGGCAAGCCACATAGTAGTAATAAATGTGCAAAACTTGCATAGTATAAAGTCATGCTTTTGGCATCACAGCCCAGTTGGAGCTGTAGATAAACACAAGACTTTTTCTTTCTCAAAGTTCTTCCACATTTGGATGTGGATACATTTCCGTGTGTTCCTCATGTCATAGTCATTAGGAGTTTTATGTTTTCTCTTTGCTTAGTTCATCACAATGAAGTTGTCCCACATGTTTGGAATATGACAAGCACAAACAAAATAAAAGACACACGTGCTGAGTTCAGAAGAATACAGTTCAATCACGAAAATTGTTTTTTAAACTAAGCTAATGCTTTGCAGCAAACTTAATAATAATTTGTCTTGTTGCAAGAGTGTAGAAGAGCAATGTCAATTTCTGAGCAGTTTCCTCATCCCATTACCTTTCCACCATCTGGTCATTGTAGTGTCACTAGCTACACTATCTTGGCCATTACAAAGCATAGCCTGTAAAAGGCTGCATCTGCTGGAAGCAGAAATGCCAGATAGGACTTGTGCTGATAATACTGTTTAGACAGAATAAATTGATGAACATATGCAAAATTTAAGCAGACATATTTAAAATTTTAAAAGTAGACCATATAAGAATGAGGATTGGTGACCTTCCTTAGGGGGAAAAAACTTTAGCCAAGGCAGTTGAAATAAAAAACACAGTATTGTGCATCTGGCTGTTCATTCTTGATGAATTTCCTGTAGCAAAATGACCACAATTTTCTTGAAATTTTATGGCTTTTGATAATGTAGGAAACTTGATTTCTCAAATGGTTTATTTTTTCTCTTCCAGATTTGGCATTAAAAAGAAACCAATATACATCAATGTTATAAGAGATCCTATAGAGCGACTGGTTTCTTACTACTACTTTCTGCGTTTTGGTGATGATTACAGGCCTGGACTCCGAAGACGAAAGCAAGGGGATAAAAAAGTAAAAGTACATCTTGATACTTTCTTAATTCGTTAGACTTTCACTATCTAGTTCATAATTAATGTGCAAACATGGGTACTTTCAAAGGCCAGTCTGGCCCATGACATTGTAAGTTGGGTAAAAGACTAGATGACAGTGGCTTAGGTCAGAAATCATGTGTAACTATGTCTCGTTTGTGAAACCAGGTGTAATGATTCCTTGTTTTTGTGTATGTGTGTCTCTTTAAAAGTTTGGTTGCATGGCTGTGGTAGATAGACTAGAGTGGTTGAGAGAGGCAAGTGTGGTATGATTGGTTGTTGACAGAGGGGGAGGGGTTTTGGAAGTTAATCTGGTTGGATGAGTATGTGAGTCAGTCAGGAGTTTGTTACATGTTGACAGTTGATGTACACAAGCAGTTCTGTGTTGAAGCAGTTAGAAGCTGACAGCTGAGGTTGTTCAGTGAGAAAGAGAAAGAGAGCTGAAAGCTAAGTGTATAGGGAAAAGTAAAGTAAAGTTTAAGTGAAGAAAAAGGAAAGTCTGAGTGTCATAACAAACTGGAGTGAAACAGTGAACATAAATGGCATTGAGATAAACAAATGTTACAAAGTTACATGAAAAGATCCCTGTCAGTGAGGGAGAAGATTGTGTGTGATACCAAAGCAATTGTTCATCATTTACACATTACTAGTTACATTGTACCACCCTCTTATTTAGTAGTTATTTCAATAAATCCTATTTTATCCAAGTTTATACCAGCTCTGAATGAAATACTTCCCAGGACCACATAGTTCCTCATAAGCCTTAAACTCGGTCTACGAAACTAGTAAGATATAAATTTAAAAGCATAAAGGTTTGGAAATCCTTAAAATTTCCTGGTGGCAGCAGAATCTACCCTGTTAAACAAAATAAAGAGAACTTTTAAAGTGAAACTAGTCCTCCCCAATAAGGAGGGCGTCACACCAGGGTTAAACTCTCAGATGGTCACTCAAATCGTGGTTTGCCTTGATAAATGCCTTCACTCTCTAGCCTGGGAAGGTGGCACCAGGGAACAAGTCAAGATTAAGCTGGAAAGTGTGCATTTATCTGTTTTAAGGAATTACAGTGAAGACTAACTGTGGTTGATAAACCAGCTTCAGATCTTGGCATCAGATCCTTCTTTGTGGATCTGAATTAACCATACTTAGTGGATTAACCATAGTTAGCCTGCAATTCAGACAATCATACTAACCATAAGTTTGTTTAAACCGTAGTTTCTTGTGATGTCTGAACTGAGCCAATGAATTGTCTCACATAGGGATGGGCACAAACCTTGTCATTAACTTAATATTGTGATTAACATTGCTTAGTTTATGGTTTGTGAACAAAGGGTCATGTGATCGCACCCGCAACGAACCTCCCACAGCCCTCCATGTTTTTTCCTGAGATTTGTGTTGGGGTTCGTGCAGCAGACATGCTGGCACCGATCAATCAATCAACAAAGCAACGGGGGAATGTACTTCAGGGTGAACTTGCTACCTGCACTTCACTTAGGCAGCATGGCTTGCAAAAGCCATTTAAAGGGCATGTTAAATGGCTTGCAAAAGCTATTTAAAGGCTGACTCTGAGTGTTCCCTTTAAATGGCTTTTGCAAGCCACACCACAGGCATTCAGCATTCATCTTCCCCTTTAAATAGACACATTCTGCTATGGACTTGTTGATCTTACAGTAGTCTTAAAGGACCAGTCCCCAACCTTTTTGACCTGTGGGCACCTTTGGAATTTGACCACACGGTGGTGGGTGCAACCACAAAATGACAGAGCCAGCCACAGAATGGCCACCAAAGGATGTGGCATTGCACACAAGCATATATACAGGGGACGTCCAAGTGCAGGGGACAGGAGGAATAATTTTTAAAAATACAGTGAAGTGATAGAGAAAATAAAACTGACACTGTGGTGTAGCAGCCACCAAAGCAATGTAATTTTAATCTGCACAGCCAATCAGACCTCCAGTGGCTAATCAGGAGCCCCGCTTGGCAGGAGCCCCATCTGGCCCCACCCACTCTCTATGAATACTTGGTGGGCACCAGGAAAGGTTTTGGAGCGCACTATGGGGCCCCTGTGCACCATGTTGGGAAACTCCACATTGGGGTACATGTCCTGGTTGCAAGTGTCATCTTTGAAGTTCAGCTCTGGCAACACTAACAAGTTGTCCAGCAAGTGGCTAGCTTTGTGTATAGGTCTTCACAGGAGCATTACTGTAGTGATTCAGTGTGGTAAAAACTTGTTGTCTGACAGCTTTTATAGAGAGAATATAAGTAACATTTAAAATTATTACTGTTAATAATAGGAATCTAAATACATAGTCCATGACTGGTCATTCCTTTGCTTTTTAGATGCAGGTGCCATGGCTAGGGGCAATCATGTGAATATTCATGGTGCCACAGAGCTCTGCTCTTGGTTGGCTGAGCATTACACACGACTGGAATAGTAGTAGAAGCAGCTTTATGAGTACAAGCAGCATGTAAACATATTCTGCATGTGTGTGGCCTTCATGTGACTGCTGTCTTGGTGTATGGCACCAACAAGTGCAAGCTGAATGAAACTGTTACTGCTAGATGTGGAGACGGTTGTGGGAATAAGCTATTGTGAAGCAATGTAAAGGTTAGTTTGGCAACATAGCCACATTTTAGGTCTTTGATATGTAAGATGGAAATTTATAGTTCACTCTAGAGTTTTGTCTTTGTTCCAGACCTTTGATGAATGTGTAGCAGCTGGAGGCACAGATTGTGCCCCTGAGAAACTCTGGCTTCAAATTCCATTCTTCTGTGGCCACAGCTCTGAATGCTGGTAAGAAGATGAAGTTGGCTTAAGTTGCTGATTAAATGCATTATCAGTATGAACTGTATTTAGCAGGACAGAATGTGTAGCAAAGGTACAAATTTTGGAGATAAACAGAATACTAGGTGAGCTGTATATACATGTTAATTAACAAGAATGTGAGGTTATCTTCCATACAAAAATGTTTGATAACAATATGAAACAGTAAAAGAGCCTTGCATCTTGTAGAGTTCTATCAATAGTTCCCTGACCAAGCAGTATACTTTTTTGAAACTAAAACACTGAAACTAATATCTTCATTAAAAGCTCCAAGTGTGAGTTTTTTCCTGATCAAAGTGCTAGCATTTGTATAAATGAAAACAAAAATTGTTCACTCTTACGCTTCTGCCAATTATAAATGTAAGTGTTGGCTGACACATCTGTGACCATGGAACAGTAACCTCTGTGAAAGAGTGCAGGAAAATGAACTTTAGAAGTTGATTTGTCATGTAGCTGAGCCTTCTTACTCATCAAAAGAAGAAAATATCTCACAACAGCAAGTGAACATGGGAGAATGTTTATCAAGATAATTCTGTCCTCAGCATGCCAGCTCCAAAGGCCACTTCATGCATGTCAATTCTCCTATGGTGTATTTCTTATTAGGAAAGAGATGTACGAACAAACTATGCACTTCAGCAATTTATTCATTCTAGTGCATAAGCAAGTGTTTGTGAAGTTTGGGGTATCATACGAGTGATTAACCATTGCAGCAACTTGTATAACTTTCTTGTTTATTTTCAGATATGCTAAAAATGTATGTATTCTGTAGCCGACACAACGGGTACAGAGCTGAAACAAGTGCCTTTCAGTTTCTTTTTTTAAAAAAACAAACAAAAACAACAACAAAACCCCACATGAGAAATGACACTTAGGAACACTTTTTGCTTTTACAGCAAAAGCTTTTCAAATTGCATACTTACACTGCTTGCAGGCATTAGTGTTATCAAGAAGTTAGATGGAAATCAGCCATAAATCTTTTGACATCCAACCTAAGCAATGAAGAGAATAAAAAGCAGGGAGCAAAGAAAAAAGTGAAGGAAATTAAAAATGTGTGTGGCTGAAACTTTGTTTTCTTGCCTTATAAAGATAACAGCTAAGCCATTCTTTTAGCCTGGTGTGAGAATATCTAAATGAAGGGAACCAAAATTCTTGGCAAACATCAAAACCTTGCTGTAATTACTTTTTATCGTTTTAGGAATGCGGGAAGCAGATGGGCTTTGGAACAAGCCAAATACAACTTGATTAATGAATATTTCCTAGTGGGAGTTACTGAAGAGCTTGAAGACTTTATTATGTTGCTGGAGGCAGCTTTACCCCGTTTCTTCAGGGGTGCAACAGAACTATATCGTACAGGTATTTTAAATGGCTGTAGAGCAGATCCTTTTGTTCACTTTACTCTTTGACATGATATTTTAGGGCACAAATGAGCAGTTTCCTCAGACTCTGGTCCAATTCTCCTTGTTCTTCTTGAATTCCAGAGGCTGATTGTGCATGTAAGTAGATGCAATGCTACTGGCCACTGCCAGCTTCCTGTTTTGGGCACACACATGCTTTACTTGTATGCGCTCCTTTGCTGAGTACAGGAATGCTCTTGTCTACCAGGTTCACGTCTCCTTGAAGATGAGTGAAGCTCTGTCCCTTTTGGGCTCCAACCTGCTTTACTGCTTTAGGAAGGTTCTGTGGCTCTTCAAGGTGCTGTCTGTGCAGTAGTGAGAGAATTGTGGTGTTAGGAAGAGACTGGGAGAGCTGAACAGTAAGGTCAAATCTGTCTTCAAGTCTAACCGCAAATCCTTTGCAAAGGTTCCCTTTCCTGCATTCTAAATTGATTTCTTACAGCAAATTTGAAAAATCGGTGGTAGGTGCTCCCTTCACAGGAACTCCTGGCCTTCTTGCCTTAAGATTACCGTTGTACAGAGACTTGATAGAGATGTGTGTTGTATGCAGCTCTGAAGGGCAGGCTTGCCTGTTGCAAGTGCCTGGGGGTGTACCATGCATTTCGTTATGCTCTGTGCTCTCACATATGACATCCTCCTGAGATTCTAGTTGGTGAATCCCATATCATCCAGTGTCAGGGGTTGAACTTTTCCTTCATCACAACAATTGATACATGCATAGTACATTATCCATAACAGGTTAAGTAAAGTGTACCAGTAGGATCACCCCTGTACTCAGGGAAAAACTTGCTCCTTCCAGCACCCCAGTGACCACTGAGAATCAGAATGCTTCAGTCTGCCAAGGCCAGCTGCTTCATCTGCCTTCATACCTCTGAAGGCCCATAGCACAGCAACTCTGCTGAAGCCGAGCAGGCATGGGTCTAGTCAGTTCATGTGTGAGAAAGTGTTGGGTATCAAGAGTACATTACCTTGAGTTCCATGACGGAAGTTAGGTGAGATAGAAATGTAGTACATTTTTCTATTCTGGATTGTGTTTCTTCGTTACAGTAGAGGGTGACAGAACGTTAGGAGCTGGCTTTGATATTAACAGAAGATGTATATTGCAGTACATACTGTACTGTAAGTGTGTTTATTGTAAGTATATATCATGTGGTTAATGGCATATACCTACAGTGGCCAAGATGACTAAAGAAGATAAAACTCTTAATGTGAAAGCTTGCTGGGAATTCTGTGAAACAAATTGCCTGCCCAATTATGATGTAGTCTGTATTTTATTAACTTTATTATCAATAGTACTGAATTTCCAAATAGGCATTAATCACGATTGAAGCAGATATCTTAAATGGATGTGATGTGAGGAAATACGGCTCCCTTATGCAAACACTTCCTCTTTATGCTTTTAATAATTAAGCCCTTTAAACAGTGAAAGGAATGTGCACTGAGAGACTCTACTAATGCAAAGGCATTCATGCTTAATGTCAGAGCTTCCAGTCTTTCATTCCCAGAGGCTTAATAAATCTTGGCCCAAGTTCTGTCATTTTATGTATCCATTTAGCAGCCCGCTGACTAGAGAATACACAAAAATCTTCTGGTCTGTGCCATGCACTTCAGGGAGTATTCAGACTGTAAGTCAGAGTGGATTTATGATTTGATGTTTTTCTTTTAGGAAAGAAGTCCCATCTTAGGAAGACGACAGAGAAGAAACTCCCCACAAAAGAAACCATTGCAAAGCTCCAGCAGTCTGAAATGTGGAAAATGGAGAATGAGTTCTATGACTTTGCACTAGAGCAATTTCAGTTCATCAGAGCACATGCAGTTCGAGAAAAAGATGGAGAATTGTATATTCTGGCACAAAACTTTTTCTATGAAAAGATCTACCCTAAATCGAACTAAGAGCAATGAGTACTGTTAGATTAGGGGACTAAACCTTTGGCCATGTCCTTGTTGCTTTCAGCCCCAATGTGTAGATTGCTGATACACCAATCCAGGCTCTTTAGTCTTGAGTTCAGTAGACTAAGTTATGGATTGTTCAAAGAAGATGGCTACCAACTAGGTATCTTGGCAGTCCAAAAGTATAAGCTTCGGTGCCCCTATGTTTTCAGGGGAAGTTACTACCCAATACCTGAGGAAGCTTACATATTCATTTACAGAAACTAACCATATATCTATTATAGCTGAAACTATAACAATGAAAGGATTCCTTTTAGTGCTCTTCTTGATTCTAGGACAGTTTATTTTACGGAACCTCCTGGGAAGAGGAAGAAGCTTGTCCCCTAGCTTCAACATGGAGATTTTGGTTGTATACACTTATGAATAATGTTAATAACTGGCTGACATCTGTGCTTCGTTCTTGTGAATCCATATCACGTGACATTCATTGGAATGTTCAGTCATGTCTTGCTGAGAGAGGCAACAGTTGAATGTGCCCATATATAGAGATGTGGGCTTTCATTTTAAGAAGCTAGGACTGGTCATCAGCGTGTGTGAAAATTTGAATTCCATAGTGAAATTGTCAAAAGGGCAAAATTATAGGCAGTATTTCTTTGCCACCCTCTGTACTTCCAGCTATTGTTGGGAAAACTCTCTAAAGCTGGCTTTTGCCTGCACATTAATATAAAACAAATAGTGAATTCTGTATAATTGTTCCATGGATTCTTTGTACTTTAAAAAGAACTACTGGTGAATCCATATTATGACTCAACTAGTGAGCTGTGGTATGGTTAGGATTTTCCTACTTAGATACTTTTACCTGTAGAATATTTTTACTAAGGTGCTTTATAACGTGTTTTAAAGCATTGCATTTGCAAAAGGAGTAAAATGCTGTAAATAATGCATATTTTATGTATTTGGACCAAAAGGTTACAACTAATAGTTTAAACTGTTTTTGCACCAATTTTGTTGTGTGTGAAGTAAAAGCATCCCATCTGCAGTTCAAATTCCAGTTTTGAATTGACTCTTGGGCATCACTGAAACACACTTCAATGACTTCAAAAACTTTAAATACAGTGGGTCTGCCCAGGAGCCCTCTTTCCAGAAAACTACTTAATCTGCATCCTTTTATCATGCTGAAAAGAGGAAAAGGAAAACGGAAGCATGTGGCCTGGCCAAGAGAGATACAAAGGAGTTGACTTGACATCTACATCTTCTTACAGCTGCCTTGCATTACTTCAGTAAACTTGCATTTGCCATTATTAGCACCTTATAGCACTCATTTACTGAGATCATTTGGTTAGTACCAGAACATTAAAGTTTGAAGAATATTCTAGAAACTCACAGTTCTAAAAATTCTCTAGTTGCACATGCTTTACCAGCAGTTTTTTAAACTGAGTATTAAAATTTTCAGTAAGGTTCAGCCTTTGAACATCACATTCTATTGGTTGGGAGTGTAATGTAAATATATTGATAGGGGAATACTTTACCAAAATTGTGTATCTGCTAAATGATCACAAAGAGATTGACTGTCGCCTATATACTGAATGTTTGATGCCAAAAACATAATCTTATTTTAAAAGGGTAATGGGACTGTTAAGCAAACTTTTAATTTACTGTATTTTTAATTTGCTTTAATTTTGGCTTTTTTTTTTTAGAGCACTGCCTTCCCCCTTTTTCAGTTGGCAATCATTTTTCACATTTTCTTCCTTTTACTACATTACTGTAAGTCAGAGTGTTTGTAGCCATGTTGGTCCAACTGAGTGATAAACAGAGGCATGAAATGAACGTTAAACTGACGGGCTAGTTAAAATATAGCAGGTTTATGAACCAGGGTGTTCAACCTCAGGTGTTGACGCACAACTGAAATCTTGACAGTCAGGACTGATGGATCTGTTAGTTCCATTCCTATAAGTAGGGAAGAATTTGAGGTACTTGCTGCCTCAGATATATGGGGCAGTGTTGCACAGAGTCAGCTAGCACCAATTCCACCCTCTCAGGCTGGAGACTGAAAGTATGAATGTAAAATTATTCTCCAGGCCAAGCTTGGGTCATCCAGTTCAGACCCATGGTACGTATTGTTCAATGGGGATTGATAACCCCTGGCAAAATGTTCACTGTGTGGATGTGCCTCAGAGCAAAGGGGGGAGTGTGAGTGTTACTTATCTATTTAAACTTTGCCTGTATGAGCAGCTTTAGAGGTTTCATGTTTCTCAGAATTAATGTAATAAATGGCAAAGCAGATAGTATGGATGATGATATAACAGCTAGAAAGGCACTCTTAAGTTTTCCAGGTGTCCATCTCGAACACATGCTCTGGCAGCTGTGTATAGATTGGCCCCGCTGTCATAACTCATGAATAGAATTTCTTGAGTTACATTGAGCCAACGTCACTAGGTACTACTATGGTTGGAAAAAATGAATTAGACCCAAAAACTCATGAGCAGAGCTTGTTGACTGCATCTTTGTCTGCCAGCCGCAGTGCTTTCCACATCTCACAAGCTGCTCCTGAGGGTCAGGACAGGAACTTCAAGAATAGCATGGGATGGATGAGGGGTTGCAGCTTGAGTGGGAACGCCACATAACTTCTTGCAAAGCAGAAGTGTCCCTTTAGATTCAAACAAGCATCTCATAAAATTCTGATTAGCTGTATGACGAGTTGTGGAACTGTTGAGAGGTTGCTGTAGTGTAAAAAGATAGTGGCAGAAATTAGAAAGAAACGTTTACAGTTCCCTCTGTAATGAATATGGAAAGTGATTGCTTTGAGGCAACTTATGCCTAGATCTTTACTTTACTATCCTTTCTGAAATGGACTGGGCTTTACCTGAGTTCCTGACTTGAAGCTGTTATAATCTACTTTGAAAGAGAACACTGAATAAAGGTGTTAATGTTTACAAAGTGAAATACAGGCATTTAAACACAAACACACTTGCAAGTTTACAAAAGTGACTGAAAATGTGACTTGTGTAATCTGCTCATTTTGACAGTATTTAAATGATTACCTAGGATTGTTCCATGTTGTACAGCAATGTGATGTTCAAGAAGAAGTGATAACATGGTAAAAGATTTCTAGCTTTTAACAGCCTCAGAAAAGCTTTGGAACTTTGGGTGCATTCTCTGATGCCATATTCAGATATCATAACAAACGCTCTACCAAACCCTTGCACAATGTATCTGAAAACTTCCAGGTTTTGTAAGCTCTGAATTAGTGTCCAGTTTACTGTGCTACCCAAAGGCAGGCACCTGGGCAATAAGAGTTTGTTTCCTCCCCATAAGTGTTCAAAACCAGGCTTAAATTGAGATTCTGAGTTTGGATGTCACAGCAAATTGGAACTAGTTTCAAGGCTTCCAAAATCAGGAAGCTTTAACTCACTGGTTTCCAAAGTGAGCAGTACCGCCCCCTGCGGGGCACTGGAACGATCCAAGTGGGCGGTAGGAGCCTTGGGTGCAAATTTGTCACTGCATCTTTTGTCCACTTTTTGAAGTTAGATTTCCAGGGGGGCGCTGAGTAATTATTTTTTTCCTGAAAAGGGGGCGGTAGGCCAAATAAGTTTGGGAACCTCTGCTTTAAATCATGCTCCACATGTGAGGGAGCACACAGGCATGAGAACGGACTGTTCTATCAGTCATAGGTAAGTCATACATCTGAATGTGTCCTATATCTCAGTAGCTGGAGAAAGGCTAGTCAGGGCTGAAGCGGCTGGTGTGCTATATAATTTCTTACGTCCTCCCACTCCCCAGCTTAAAACTGTTCTCTGCTTCACCAGTCTACTTACGTTGTTCCCTGAATCCTCCCTTTCAACCTTCACTTTACCAGAATCTTCCAAATACTCTAAACCCTTATTTCCTGAAATCTAAACATTAAAAAAGCCGGATTGTTCTGGATGATGTTTTTTCTTCAATTGTAACATTTATTAAATGTTGATACAAAGAAATCAAAGCCCTGGATATGCTCTTTGGAAAATAACTTTTTTAAAAGTTGACATGCAAAACATACTGTGTAAACACAAACTAATAAAATCTGAAATCATTTTAAAGGATATTGTTTGAGTAATGCAGAATACATCAAAATGCCGTAAGTCATTTTTTAAAGTAATGTTAACATCCTGGATTAATCTACTAGTGTACTTCAAAGGTGTATAGTAATAGTTTTGTAACTGTAACTTGCTGGTGAGATTAATGCTGTTCACAAGTCAATACTGGCTCCACAACTTCATTACTGACTGAAAAGTGATGCTGTTCAGGTACTCGAAACAAGTTGCAATGTTCCAGAATCTACATAGGTCAACAGTCTCTGAGGAAGGCCAATGTGTTAAAAAGGTAAAGGTAAAGGTTCCCTTGCTCGAAAGCCAGTCGAATCCGACTCTAGGGTTGCGGTGCTCATCTCCGTTTCAAAGCCGAAGAGCCAGCGCTGTCCGAAGACGTTTCCGTGGTCATGTGGCCAGCATGACTAAACACCGAGGCGCACGGAACGCTGTTACCTTCCCACCGAAGTGGTACCTATTTATCTACTTGCAATTTCTTGCTTTCGAACTGCTAGGTTGGCAGGAGCTGGAACTAGAGACAGGAGCTCACCCTGTCTTGCGGCACCCGGGTCTTGAACCGCTGAACTACTGACCTTCCACAGCCTGCAGTTCAGCGTCTTAACCACTTGAGCCACCGCTCACAAATTTATTAGTAATGATATTTCAATGCTACTGTTTAGCAGTTATGTTTAGACACCTTGAGCCATTGCGTAAATTCAAAAAGGCTAGCATTTACCATCCCTTGTTTAATAGAATGATATTGTTTGTATTTTGATGTTTTCTGTCTTTATAATTGCACAGTATATCTGAGGATGGACTTTTTGCATACTAGATAAGGTTTTTCATATTTGGTTGTATGTCATCAGTGAATTAAGAAAGAGTACTGGGGGGGTGGAGCCAAGGTGGATAAAATCAAAGACCCAAGGTCAGCAAATGAGTTTAGTTTATAGTTCTGGATCCAAGTTTCTTGTGTGTAGTACTATATGCTACATTGTTATGATTAAGTTTTTTTGGTCCCTGGAATTCAGAAACCAGGGGGATTTGTTTCATTTTGCTAATTCTGGTTTACCAGTTAGCTGTTAACCTGGATGAAATCTGTATTGGCTGTAGAATCAGTCTTCAGTTCTGATGACATGGAAATATTTAAGGCATGCATCAAAAATGCAGTTAGTGAGAGCATATGAGTAAGTGACCTTTTATACAAATTCTTAATTTTTAGTTTGGTAAGGTACTGATTCTCCTTTTCTGATATTTCATAAATTTAGTAGGTAGCATCCACATCCTAGTGTATCAGATGGTTTATATGTGAGGCATAAAGTTACAGGTCTATTGGCATTGCCCTGATCTAGTGAATTCTTGCATCAGAGAGAACAGCACGAACATAAGAGAAGCCAATGTTAGATCAGGCACATGGCACATCCAGTCCATCACACAGTGGCCAAAAGAGTGTCCACAAGTTTTTGTATTGTGAGATAGGGAGAAAAGTACTTCTTTCTCTACCTGCTCTTTCCCATGCATAATATTCTTGTAAACCTCTATCATGTCGCCCCTCAGTCATCTCCAAGGAGCCCCAAGGGCTTTAACCTTTCTTCATAGGGAAAGTGTTCCAACCCTTTCCCCATTCTAGTTGCCCTTTTCTGCA